TGAATGGTACTTTTGTAATTAACTTCTGAGCAAAAAGCAAAACAACTGTGATGATGTATATGATACATCACGTTTGTACTCTATGTAGTTATCAATGAGATTGAGTAAGATATCTGTGATTGGCAGACTGTTGGTACTGAACACATGTAACCTCAAAATTTTTAGTAACAAGTTTTTGGAGTACACTTCCTCTAAAAACGAATGAATATTTATGTTAAATATGGATTTATTTCATCCCATTATTCAGGTGAAAACATCTTCCACTCTTTATCAGTGTAGTTTTCTGCATTTGTTCCATGTTCGTCAGTAAAATTTCATATAGACAAACGGTTTTAAAAGCGATGAGGAAAGTTTTTCATCCTAAAAACATTATCACAGTGATTTTACTATGAACACTTAGTAAATTTGAAGGTAGATTTTCAATCATTTGAATTTGTATCCAATGAATAAAGTAGAATAGCAGTGGAATCCAGGATGAACATCTCATCCCATCTGGTACTCATCAGCTGGATGTATCTTCACTCAATGGATGATATTGTTCCCACTAGGGACTCGACCACAGTGCCTTTTTGCTTCAGATGCCAAAGTATTGTCCACCAGGCAACTGGGGCACGATACCTATGTCTTATAGAACGGGTACCAAAACAACAAAATAGAAGAATAATGTACAGTGATAAACAAATGACTTCAAGAAAGTCATCATATACAGTGTTTGAACTATGTAGTAAATTCAGACAAAGGTCAACAGCTTATTACAAGCAATATCGTCGGGTCACTTTTATAATGCACGGCTGTAGCAGTGATAAATGTATTGGTGTAAGAATCGCTGAAATGAAGCTAGAATAACTCCACGCAGTACTGATTGACTTTTGTTGCAGTCCGCTCTTGATACCAATAAACGTCAATTTTCGCTAATACTGTTGAGAATATTTTAGTCATAAACTAAACATAATGACAGAATATACAAGAGAAGTCCATCATGCTCCAGTGGCCTAATGGATAAAGGCCTGGCATTTGAAGTGATCAGTACTAGGTTCAAGTGCCAGTGGGAACACTATCACTGACTAGGACACAGACACATCTAGCTGACTAGTCACAAATAGGATGGAACGAGAGTCCTGGATTCCGCTGCTAGTCACCAAGTTCAAATAGTTCTATCTAAATCTGTTTGCCAGTATACGTTTGTAGAGCACATAAGAAATTCTGACTTACATAATAAACTTCAATACAGTTCCTATTCTGCATTATTGGTCATGAATTGAACATTCATTGGACAGTACTAGAAGCTTATTTTTTAAGATATCCGTGGATATTTTTCGTATGCATTTTATTTCTTTTACTTCAATTGATACATTATATTTTATCTTCCTGGCACGAAGCTGGTAACAGATTGGTGTTTTGAACACTCTACTATTATTGGCATGTTTAATTGCAACCATGGTTTTGAATGCCATTGTGAAACAGTTCATGGAAAGTTTTTCATGATAAAATATGTTGGCTATATTGAGAAGACGCTAAACTGACAACAGACTTTCTTTGTTCATTAGATAATAGGATTAAAGATGTATTTATCATTTGACTGTCTTAGATAGCCGTGGTTTGACAGACTAGTATTTGTACTGGGTGGTGACTGAAGGTGTTATGTAACTGGTGATTTCTTATTGCATTCCTGTTAGAGTAACCTTTTGCTTACAGTTAGTTTTAACTATGATAGCCCACTAAAAGGAATTAAAATGATTATTTCTATTCCGTTTACATTGTTGCTTTTTGTTTGTTCAAGTTTCGATGGATTTTAGCTCATCACTGAGTTTTCACTTAATTCATAATTGGAGCTCATTTCAAAAGTACTGTGATCCATATCATATTCCACATAGTATTTTAGTACATAAAATTAAAAACAACCGTTAAGTACTTTCATTTCAAAAGTGTAAGCAATTTGAACTCCATACGAAATATAAATTATCCGTTTTTGAATCCCATCTCCAAATTTTCCAGCTAACAATCATTAAATTTTTGAGGGGTTGTGGAGATTTGGAAATATTTCAAGTTGTTATTCATCGTAGACTGACATCAGTTGGAGGAACAAGGAAATCTGGGAGCACTGGACAGCTGTTTCGTCACACTAGTATGGGACTCCTCAGCAGTGCGCACCCACGATCCCTCAAACTGATGTCAGTCTTCGATGAATAATAACTTGAAATATTTCCAAATCTCCACAACCCCCTCAAAAATTTGATTGAACTGATGCTCATTGGTGACTAGCTTCGAGAAGTATTCCCGAAGTTCCAATGACAAGTCGTGACCGGTAGAGTCAAAGCCTGATGGCCGTGAGGACAGACACTCAACAATGACATTGGGTGGCGGTTTGCTCTATATCGTGAGCTAACAGAAGTTGGAAATATGGAGCATTGGATTCTGACCCAGTGGCTCAATGGTAACGCGCTGGCCGCGGAACCTGAAGGTCGCGGGTTTGATCCCTGCTGGTGGGGTCGTGGGTGCGCAGTGGTGAGGAGTCCCATACTAGTGTGACGAAACAGCTGTCCAGTGCTCCCAGGTTTCCTTTGTTCCTCCAACTGATGTCAGTCTACGATGAATAACAACTTGTAACAATCATTAGTCAAAACTACAGGATGGGGTATTTTTCATATAAAATATACCGTTGAATAAAATGTCTATTTATCTACCATTCACGATAACCGCTACTTAGTTTCCCTAATTGAATGAAACAGATTTGAATGATTCAGTCATAACACCATCAATTGATGGTAATATGGAACGATGGGGTAATCAGTGAAATTTAGGAAGTCAGTTTGAATTTTGTGTTAATTACTGAGATCATTTAGATAATGGAAAAGTGATTAATGAGAATAAGTTTTTTTAAACAAAAAATGTCGATCAGTTCAACTTTAAATAAAAGAAATCTCTCCTCTCTCTCTCTCTCTCTCTCTCCAGTTTTCTATTAGTTTACAACTGAAAATAACCATAAGGGTATTAGAGGAAACCAGACGTTCCACTATTTCACTTCATTGCAACTGATTCAGAGTTCAAATTTGTCTAAAATGGTATATTTCAGCTTTTTCTAAATTCCAGAAGTTCTTGTCATACTGATAGAGAATCTATGTGTATAAAAAGAACTTGTACAACCTTTTTTACTACCTTGGACTTGGCAACTTACTAACAATACATCGGTCTCTATTTCTCTCTCTTATTATTCATGATTTTGTTACATTTTCATGATATTTTAATAACCAAATATCATCTTCATTTTGTTTTTACGATGATATCCTTGATCATTCTTTATGTTGAAAATTATTTTCATGCATTATGTTGGTTCCTAAACCTTTCTGTAATTAATTTTCACTTTACATCACACTTGTGAATTTCTAATCCTCATTCAACTTGATTTTTGTTGTTAGGTTTAATTTAGTAACTTTTCTGATTATCCAATATAGTTAATACAAAAACGAATAGATTGCTATGGAGGATGAAATCACCGAAAAAGATATATCTGCTGGACTCTTCTTTTTCTCAAATGTTTATTGGTATATTTAGGTGGAACAAGCTTCAGGTTGATATTCATTCTGGACTGACGTCAGATGGAGCAACTTTGAAAACCTGGGGGCGCTAGATGGCTGCTTCGCCGTAGTATGGGACTCAGCAGTGCACACTTATGACTCCATCAGGGACCGAACCCAGGACCTTCAGGTTCCATAGCCAGCAAGTTACCTTTGAGTTACTGGGTGGGAATCCAATGGTCCATGTTTCCTACTTCTGTCAGTTCATGATATAGCGCGACCTCAATTCAGTACCGTCGTTGAGTAACTGTCCTCATGTTCTGTTGATCAGGAAACATGGACCATTGAAATCTGACCCAGTGGCTCAGTGGTAACATTCTGGTCACGAGACCTGAAGGCCTTACGTTAGACCCTTGGTGGGGTCAAGAGTGCGCACTGCTAAGATGTCTCACACTAAGACGAAATACTTGACCAGTTCTCTTAGATTCCCAATATTTCTCCTGTTGATGTCAGTCCATGATGAATACCAACTTGAAATCAATCAATCAATCCCCACAAACCTCCAAAGTGAAATAAACCTATTGAGATCTTATCTTTTAGTTACTGGTAGTAATCCTGAAGAAATGTAATGTTATGAAGTTAACTATGTTGGGAGATGATGATTACTGGATTTCATGCACAATAGTAGAGAAAATAAACTGATAGCAAAACTTCAAAGTTCCACATTCCATTTTGTGAAGGGTGTTAAAAAGTTTACCACTGATGAGTATCACACTAAAATACTATAGATGTTAATTGCTTCATACTTTCCACTGCTTAATAAGTTGATGTTAGTTACCCAGATAAACAACTGGATATACAAAAAAAAAACTCGAATCCTTATTGATTAATTTTCATTTGGGCGTATCACTTATATGAATAAATTTATTCTGAGTATAGAACACCTCTTGTTCATTTCTTTCATCAGACACAAACTTCAGACTAATTTTTCTTATTGGTCAATTCAATAATCATGTCACCCTTTAAGGAGAAAGAAAAAGCAGTTCAGTGAAAAACTTGTTTTTCTACTGAAAAAAAAAAAATTTTAAAAGGCAAAAGAAGACCTTATGATAGGTCAGCTTCAGTTAGCGTTCTATGTATATTCAAAGGAATGAAATAACTGGATTACCCAATAGAAGTGAAGCATTGAATGGTAGAGATTGAATGTCAGGAGACGGAATAATTTTCACTGTGAAGGGGTGAAATAGTTAATCACTTTTTATTTTGATTTCCTTTCTTTTAAAATGCCTATCTATCAATTGTTAGATATGAAATATTTTTCAACCATTTATGTATAATAAATGAAATTAACTTAGAAATCGAATCTTCACTTCACATACACTATCAAATCACCTTAATTCAACAACTATACATTTATTCCACACTTCAACATAATCAAGATAAACATTAAGTGAATTAGCTGAGGCAATTTGCTTAACAAAGAAAATGAGTGAATTTTCAAGGGATAAATTTCCATTTGATGCAAGTAATAAAAATTTGTTAAAAACTGTATCCAATAAATCGTAAGTTAATCCAACTTCTTTTGGTGATGATTTATACTTCCGTGTAAATATGGCAAAAATTCAAACTCTGTATATATATATATATATATATATATATATATATATATATATATATATATATATATATATATATAAAGTGGTTCGTGCCTTTAAAATAATTATCATTTTGACTGTCTGAGACGGCCATGGTTTGGCAGATTAATATTTGTACTGAATGATAATTGAAGGTGAAATAAAAAATTAGGACGGTGGCCACATTCGAACCAGCCAATCCAAAGGTTATCTCATTTAGTCAGAATGATAATCAATATGATATTCTCCCTCTTTAATTTTAGTTGGATTTAGATTGGGATGAGAAGTCTTGACTAGGCAGCCAGTGTGAATACAATCAAGAGGTAGTAACGCGTTACAAATTCATATGATAGTCGGGCAAAACCCTGAGTGATTGAAGTGAAATAAAATTCTGGTCAACAGTTGGAGCTTGTAGCTCAGTTGGTAGAGCACTGGGTGGGAAACCCGATGGTTGCTGGTTCTAATTTTCATTTCAGCTTCAATCATCACCTAGTTTAAAACAATTGAGTGAGAAAACTAGGATGGGAAGCGTGAGTATAACAAAGTGACTAAGAATTAAAGTGCTTAAAGCCCTTCCGAATATGCTATGATACGCTAGGCTGAAGTATATAAGAACAAAGATAAGTTTAGTCGATGGGATACTCAAAGGAGAACAATGAAGCCATAAATTACAGGTGGAATTTATCTCGAACAAGAACATATTCAAAAGACAAACCAATGAAAAAAGGATGATACTCAACACAAACGCTCTCATTTCGCCGTTGTACCTAACCATTTAACTTCATCTTTCCAAATAATCTGATGTTTTCGCACAAGTTCCCACCTTCATCAACCGTTGTCAATGCAACCGAAATCAAAGAATGTTCACAAATCGGTTCGGTAACACTGAGATGTGGTGAAGAATCTATTTCAATGAAACTGATATTGCTAGAGTAACTGATCCTTTACAAAATCTACTAATCTAAAAACAGAACAACTCACCAACTGACTTGTTTTTACCAAATAGAATAAAACGTTTGACTGTATACCGAATTTTAACATTAAATATAACTAGATACCGCTATTCAACAAATAAACAACTTATACTGGGTGATGATTGAAGGTAAGATGGAAATCTGGATCGCGGACGGATTTGAACCATCGACCATCGGGTTTCCGACCCAGTGCTCTACCAACTGAGCTACGAAGTCCGACTATTGACCAGAATTTTATTTCACTTCAATCACCAAGGGGTTTTCCCGGCTACCATATGAATTTGTGACGCGTTAGGACGAAAAGCGCATCCTAGATTCTCCTGCTGGGCGCATCATTCTTTGATTTCAAATTTATGGGTTCATTCATCATAGATGCATAGGTAAATCATGAAATACAGGATTTTTCACTCAACTTTATATTTTTAACAGAGTGGGAGCAACATATTGATTATCGTTTTGGCTGTCTGAGATGGCCATGGTTTGGCAGACTCCCTAATTCAGTTAGATTTTGACTGATATTAGAAGTCCTGACTAGGCAGCCAGTGTGAATACGATCAAGAGGTAGTAAGGCGTCACGAATTCACATAGTAGCCGGGGAAACCGTTGGTGATTGAGGTGAAATAAAAATCTGGTCAACAGTCGGACCTCATAGCTCAGTTAGTAGAGCACTGGGTCGGAAACCCGGTGGCGGCTGGTTCGAATCCCGCCGCTATCCAGATTTCCATCTTACCTTCAATCATCACCTAGTATAAATACTAGTCTGCCAAACTACGGCTCTCTCAGATGGTCAAGTGATGAAAAGTAGTAACATTATCAGGTCTAAATCACTGAATAATTACGCAAATTTCTGGTCACAGAGTTATTGATTCTCCTTTTGTTCCATTTGATTAATTCGCTTTACTGTTATCGTGAAAATTGCATGAAGCGTAATCGATACAATCTTCAAGTAAACCTTGAGATATTTCAGTTATTTTGATCCGATTGAGGTTCTTTATTCTTCTTTAATTGAAGAATATGTATGCAAATTACCGGAACTCACAAACTCTACTATTTCAATAGATAAAATTCTTCTGAACGAAACGAAAAATCATGTAGTGTGTGTATTGTTTTGGCCACTAAATTTTAGTCAGGATTCTAATTATATCATTACTTATCATATTATAATCATTACTTGTCCCTTCGGTTCCTAATGGAACACATGGATTCAGTAGCATGTCTCCAGTGAACTCTGTTCTCTGAAATCTTTTCAACCTGGCTCCACGACTGCCCACAAGCTCTCATTTCCTCCTCACACGATCTCCTCCATATCACCCTCACCTCGCACGCCCAACTCGTCGCTTCCCATCGCGGTCCCACTCGACGGCCTGGCCTGACCTGACGCATGATGTCCCCAATCGGCCTTCTCAGTGTATGCTCAATCCATTCCATCTCCACTTCCTTCCAAGGCATATTTATTGAGTGATGGGTTGTTGGTTGGTTCGTCGCCCGACCAGAGTTCGTTGTTGCTTATTCTTTCTGGCAATCCATCTGAGCTTCGGTAGCGAGCTAGCGTAGGCGGCAGTTATTGATGAATGTCTGTAGTTGTTTGTTGGAAATCCCTTTCGCAACGCGCCGCCAAGTCTCTCATCCACCACACAGGAGCACTGACTTGACTGAATTGGTGTTGAAAATCCGGATGTTGTTCACGCTTTATGCTGAGTAGAGTGAAGTGGAGTGGAGTAGATCTCCACACTGGTTTCAGGCTAATGAAGGCGTGTCTTGCTGTCTTTCCGATCCTGACTGCTTTGACATCCTCGTCTGTGCCTGTGGCGCCTGTAGTTGAAACAGTGCTTCCTAGATAGGTGAAGGAGGTTACTTCCTTTAAGTTTCTCCCGTTGATGGTGATTGGAGTTTGTTGCTGTTGGTGGTGGTTAGGTATCTTCATTACCTCTGTCTTCTCTATGATCACCTGAAGTCCCGTCTTCCTTCGCTGCCCTGCCTCGCCTCTTCTGCCAACTTGTTAGTTTTTGCCTGTATATCTTCAAGTTTGTGTGACAAGACATCAGAACAAAGTCACCACTGGCGAAATCCAAGTCTTCTAAATCCTTTTCCCCGGTCCAGCCAGTGTTCCCCCTTCTTCTCACAGCTCCCCACTGTTTGCTGCATGATCCAGTCCACCACAATCAGGAATATCATGGGGGATAGTGGGCAACCTTGTTTCACTCCTGTCTTCACTTCACTTCAAAAGCATCACTGAGCTTCCCATTGTGAATTAATTGGCTGGCATATGGCATCTTCATAAGTTGTTGAATGAGGCTGATAAAGGTTTGCGGTATTGCGTAGTATTGAAGCGGTTTCCAAATTGCTTGTCGGTCGACGCTGTCAAAGGCCTTCCCAAAGTCGATGAAATTGAGGTAGAAGGTTGACTGCATTCTATACTCTGTTTTATGATGATGCATAGTGTAGTGTTGCAATTTGTTCCGCACATGATTTGTACTTCCTGAATCCAGCCTGCCTGTTTCGGTTGTGGTAGTTTTGAATCCAGCGCATTCTTGATTGATCAGATAGCTTCTCTGAAATTAGGCTTAACGTTATCTACGTAACGAACTTACCAAGAATGTTCAAAACCAGGGTTGTAATTATATATCAATTAATTTCAAAAAATGAAACAAACATACATTTTCATCAACAGGTTTCTTTTTAGTTTTTATAGTAATAGTAGGTGATAGTTAACAGTGGAAGGAATGACACTGTGTTCCCGCTATTCACGACTCGTCAGCTGGATATGTCTACCTCTCAGAGCCTCCTCTTGTAGGCTACTGAGTTACTTCTTATACATGTGGTGCAGTTCAATATTATAGCTTGTAATTTCTCGTCACTGACTGAACGGAACTAATAAGCCACTAACAAATGAGGTCCTATGTAGATCCCTTAGTATTGCCAATAGTTTCAGCTTGAATATTACTGACACTTCAAGCAAATAATAGACTGACTGGAAAAATTGAAGCCCAAACTATTCAGTTTCAAACTCTGTAAATCATATCTAGATAGTTAACTGAATAAGGTGACAAAATCATTGCTGACTAATTCATTAAATATATATAATAAGCTGTTTTAAGGCTTCAGACACACTTTGCTGATTATAGTTTCTTTATAGCTCTTCTGACTACTGAAAGACAAACTAAGTTTATCTATTTGAAGCAAATAATCTGTTGTATCTTCGTCATACCTCTAGAAATCTCATTAACATCACTAGCCAGATAAAACAGTAAATGCTAGTACTCAATCATCGTTCCAGAGGGTAAAGTTCTAATAATGCTCATCCTCATCCTCATGTGAAAATCCATTAATATTCCTGGGATTGGCTATAAATACTTAAAGCAATAATTATTCAGTTGATTGCTTTGTAAACTTTTCTCTTCACCAGAATATTGAGTCAGTTTATCTAAGAGGGAGTGAAGTGAACAGAGAAGTATTCGACCGGAAATAATAAGGGTACATTAACTGAATTAAACATGTTGAGTTAAAAAAACCTCTAGATAGTTGACTTTGAAATAGTCGGGAATATTCGTAGCTCAGGTGGATTGTTTGGGCTGTATCGTATCGTCTAGAAAGACGGTGAAAGATCCACGACTAAACAACCAAACTCACTGAACACAATAAAACAATGACCATCCATCTGAGTTACAAATATTATCCGTTTCAAAACCATACGAGCGTAACAGGCTTCGCGTTGTCCGAATATGGGGGGGGGGAGGGGACTTTCGAAAAGGCAAGCTTCTACAAAAGAATAACTATTCTTTCGCCATGATACGACTAAATAATCCACCTTAGAGAACACAATACAACCAACATAGTTGACTATTTGAGTATCCTTGTTATTAGGTAGTAATCTGAAAGTTGTTCAACTTGATGTCACACTACTATTGTAGTTGTTTCAGTCTCTTTGTTTCATTGTTAGTTACTGATGCCCCT